TCGACCGGTCCCCCTCCCATTCTCCCTCCCCTCCCGGCCGGCCCGAGCCGCCCGCGGCGCCGCCGCCGCCGCCGTAGGCGCCACGGCCACCTCCGACATCTCCGCCCCGCCCACCGCCGCCGTCGTCGCCTCCCTCGCCGCCTCCCTCGCCGCCGCCGCCGCCGCCGCCGCCGTCGCCGCCGCCGCCCGCGCCTCCGCCCTCGCCTCCTCCGTCGCCGCCTCCGCCCTCGCACCCGCCGTACACGCCCTACTGGAGGGACGCACGCTGGATCGGGTGGACCGAGGAGGACGCGCGGCTGTGGGGCGGTCGCGGGCCGCTCAACCGCCTCGCCAACCTCGTGCAGCCTCTCTCGAGAGGGGAGGAAGCGCCGCACACCGCACGCTGGACGGACCTGTGAACGGCGTCTTTTCACACCCGCGGGGGCGAGATGTGGGCAGGCGGTGCCGTACCACACGCTCGACGATGTGCTGGGCACGCAGGCGAACGCCGCCAAGCCGTCGCACTGGATCGTGCTGCTGGGCTGCGTCCTGCTCGCCGCGGAGGTCCTCAGCATCCTCCTCATCCAACCCTAACCCTAACCCTGACCCTGACCCTGACCCTGACCCTGACCCTGACCCTAACCCTAGCCTAACCTTAACCCTAACACCCTAACCCTGACCCTGACCCTAGGTCCTCACCTTCCTCCTGATCTACGTCTCCTGCTGCGTCGCGCCGCCCGGGAAGCAGACGGACGACGCTTCCGGCCGAGATTAGCCGAGATTGGCCGAGATTAGCCGAGATTAGCCGGGATTGGCCGGGATTGGCCGAGATTGGCCGGGATTAGCCGCAGATTAGCCGAGATTAGCCGAGATTGGCCGGGAAGCAGACGGACGCTACGCTTGCGGCCGCGCGCCCTCCCCCCCCTCCAGCCTGGCTCGGCGGTGCTCTCCCCTTCTCCACTCACAGAGGCTCACTCCTTAGGCCGCACCCTCTCCCTCCCCTAACCCTAACCCTAACCCTAACCCTAACCCTAACCCTAGGCCGCACCCTCTCCCTCCCCTAACCCTAACCCTAACCCTAACCCTAACCCTAGGCCGCACCCTCTCCCTCCCCTAACCCTAACCCTAACCCTAACCCTAACCCTAGGCCGCACCCTCTCCCTCCCCTAACCCTAACCCTAACCCTAACCCTAACCCTAGGCCGCACCCTCTCCCTCCCCTAACCCTAACCCGTACCCCCTAACCCTAACCCTAACCCTAGGCCGCAACCTTTCCCTCTCCGACCTGCCCCCGCACGGGCCAGCCTGGGCGCCGCGCCCGCTCTGCTCCAGCACACGCAGCGGGTCCGTGTACAGCGGCAGCGGCGGCGGCGGCGGCGGCGGCAGCTTGGGCGGCGCGCTGTGGAGCGGCCGCCAGTACGGCGGGCCAATCCCTCCCCACATCTCCCCACATCTCCCCGTATCTCCCCATAGGAGCGGCCGCCCGTACGAGCGCGTCCAGACGGCGGTGTACGACAGCGGCGAGCCGAGACCGCCGACCGACGCCGGCTCTCCTCGCCGGACCCTTCTCGGACCCTTCTCGGACCCTTCCTGCAGGCGACCCGTGGGCCGACCACGCGGCCCTTTCCTAGACCTTTCCTGGACCCTTCCTGGACCCTTCCTGCAGGCGACCCGTGGGCCGACCACGCGGCCCTTTCCTAGACCTTTCCTGGACCCTTCCTGGACCCTTCCTGCAGGCGACCCGTGGGCCGACCACGCGCGGCTGTTCACAGCCAGAGGTGTGAAGAGACGCTGTTCACACCGCAGGCGACCCGTGGGCCGACCACGCGCGGCTGTTCGACGTGCTGGCCCCGCGCGAGGGAGGGGCCTACTCGGATGACGACGAGGACGACTCGTCCATCGGGTCGACGCGCGGAGTCTCCGGCCGCCGCTCGCGTACCATACCCCCCAGAGTGGTCGAACCCAGTGTGGGTTCAGTGTCCGTGGGTGGTGCGGTAGGCCGGCACTCCCGCGCAGCAGAGGCGGGCGGAGGCGTCAGCCCCGTCGGCACCGCCAGCAGCCGCCGCTCGCTCGCGCAGGCAAAGGCGTCGGTGCCGCGTTCCGCCTCTTCGCCCGCCGAGCTCAGCGAGACTGCGGAGCCAGAGTCGCCGCTCTCGCGCGCGCAGCGGCTCGAGCAGCTCGCGCTGCAGGAGCAGCTCGCTGCGGCTGGCTGGAGGACACGTCCACGACACGTCCGTCAGCCGTCCGAGACGTGTCCCGCAGGAGCAGCTCGCGAGGCTGGCTGGCGCGGGGGGCTGCGCGCGCCCGCCGGGCGGTGGCCGCGCGCCGTTCGACGGACGCGCGGCAGAGGGGCGCGCGGAGAGCTTCCCGCGCGGCTTTGGGGCGAGGGCAAAGGTGGCGCCGCAGTCGGCGGCGCTGCAGGCGGCGCAGCAGCGGCGTCTCGCGCGCGCGCGCGCGGCGAGGGAGGAGGGGGGGCCTCCGGCGCAGTCGTTCACGGTGCTTGTGTGAGGGGCGAGGGGCGTGGCGCGTGGCCTCTACTGCCGGTCTGTGTGAGGGTGTCTGCAGTCTGGTCGTCGCCGGCCGACGCATCTCTCACTTTCCGCTCGCGTTGTGTTACACCCACCCGGTATCAAACTCTATACGGCTTTACTGTCCCAGGACAGCGGCGGACCGCCACCGCTGCAGAAATTTAGGACCGCGCAAGATATAAGGTAAGGTAAGGTAAACTTCTCCACACACACGAGGTGGTGGGGCAAGGGGGGGGCAACCCTCGCGTCACCACGTCTTTAACGACAGGAGCCGCCCACGGCATTCAAAGTGCAAGGCCCGGTGCGCGTGGGTGAGCGGTGTGTGTGTGTGTGTGTGTGTGTGTGTGTGTGTGTGTGTGTGTGTGTGTGTGTGTGTGTGTGTGTGTGAGTGTGTGTGTGTGTGTGTGTGTGTGTGTGTGTGTGTGTGTGTGTGTGTGTGTGTCACGTCACTGCATGTCTGCCTTATGTCTGCATCCTCTGCCGGTTCCTCCCGTCGCCTCTACCCTCTTCTTTGTTCGAATGTTTTTCAATCCATCCTTCACGAAGCCCTCCCATGTAGCTAGCGTTCTTTGCGAATGTCTCGAAATGGCCAGCAGGCGCTGTCTGCTCGCGGCCTGTGCGGGCCGCTCGTCCTCCTCGCCCTCCTTTCTTCGCGTCCTCCCGTCCCTCCTGGCAGGGCTCGCAAGGCGCCCGCGTCGCAGACGCCAGAGAGCTGGGCAGCCACGTCTTTTCCCCGACAATTAAAAGGAAGAATTCATTAGAGTCACACCACACACACACACCACACAGCCGGTTAGACAGAGCATGCATGCCGCCGGGGGCAGGGCGCCCACGCCTCGATCTTCTTGGGCAGCAGCTGGTTCGACAGGTCCTCTCCGTGGCCAAGGCAGCCGCGTTCGCCCTGGCCCCAGGAAAAGACAGCGCCGTCGCCGGTGACGGCGAAGCTGTGCGTGAAGCCAGCCGACACAGAGCTGACGCGCCGCCCCGCCAAGGCCTCGACCTTCTTTGGCAGCAGCTGGTGCTGCACATCGCCGTGGCCCAACTTGCCATAGTAGCCACGGCCCCAGCTCCAGACGGCTCCATCGGCGGCGAGGGCGAGGCTGTGGTACGCTCCAGCCGACACAGCGACGACGCGCTGGCCGACAAAAGCCTCGATCTTCTTGGGCAGCAGCTGGTCCTGCCCGCCGCCGTGGCCCAGCGCTAGCTGACCTCCATAGCCCCAGCTCCAGGCGGCGCCGTCAGCGGTGATGGCGAGGCTGTGGGAGTATCCAGCCGACACAGCGACAACGCTCCGCTCCGCCAAGGCCTCGACCTTCTTCGGCAGCAGCTGTAGCTGCTGGTCGCCGTGGCCCAACCGGCCGTCGGCTCCATAGCCCCAGCTCCAGACAGCTCCGTCGGCGGTGATGGCGAGGCTGTGGCAGTCTCCAGCCGAGACGGCGACGACGCGCTTGTCAGCCAAGGCCTCAATCTTCTCAGGAAGCTCCGTGTCCTGCCGGTCGCCGTGGCCCAGCTGCCCCTCGACTCCCCGGCCCCAGCTCCAGACGGCGCCGTCGGCGGTGAGGGCGAGGCTGTGACTACCTCCAGCCGAGACGGCGACGACGCGCTGACCAGCAAAGGCCTCGACCTTCTTCGGTTGCCACTCGTTCAGCGCCCAGTCGCCGTGACCCAGCCTGCCTTCGACCCCCCAGCCCCAGCTCCAGACAGCGCCGCCGGCGGTGAGGGCAAGGCTGTGGGCATCTCCCACCGACACACTCAGGGCGCGCTCGTCACCCAGCGTGGAAGGGAGGCGTGTCGGCGTGTTGAGCCGCGTCACGCCCTCGCCGTGGCCAAGGAGGCCCGGAACCTCCTCCAAGTCCTCCACGTCCTCCTCTTCCGCATTGCCGCACGACGAGAGCCGCCCCTCGCCGTCGATGAAGAGGCTGTGGTAGCGGTCTGCCGCCGCCCTCGCCGGTGGGTTGGACTCGCATAGCAAGGCCGAATAGCACAGCCACCGCACGGCGCAGCCCTCGCCGTCCGGCTGCGCATGCAGCTCGAAGCCGCGCTCTCGCGCCCACAAGCGGATGGCCTCTAGCGCAAGCGAGGCGTGGAAGAGCAGCGAGACGGCCGCGACGCGAGCGATGTCGGCGGGGTCGCAGCGAGAGAGGGCGCGCACGAGGAGCTCCGTGGGGAGGTCGAGGAGGCGGATGGACGGCGGCGTGCTTGGCGAGGGAGCGGCGGTGGCGGCGGAGGCGAGGCGGCGCGAGCGGCGGCGCGGCGGGGTGGACATCGCGAAGAAAAGAAGATCTTACAACAAAACTCCCTCGCACAACACTGGGCAGCGGCTGACGGCAAAGCTGCACCGCGCGGCCGGCGGGGAGGCGGGCCCTGGACCAAGCGACGTCGAACTGCGAGAGCGTGCTCGCCATCGGCCCGCCGACCTGCTGCGCTTTTGCGACGGACTGAAGGCTGACAGCGGTGGCGATGGCGCTGACTGGGGCGCCGCGATGAGCGACCCTGTTGTCCTGGCCGCTATGCGCCGCTTGCAGGCGCGCGTCGGGGAGATAGGGGGCGGGAGCGGCACCTTCCGCCCCTCGCAGTGGGCAAACACCGTGCTAAACGGCCGCGACGCGAGCAGCAGCCCGCGGCCGGCGCATGGCCATTGCTCCGCTGGCAACCCGCTGAGCTCTGAGCTGCTGCGCGAAAAGTACCCGCTCGCCTCGCTGCCTCGACGCTCGCGGCTGCGGGCACCGCCACGGCCCGAGCCCACATCATTGTGGCCATCCGGCTGGGGTGCCAATGCCGACGAACGCGCAGTGGACCTTGGGTTTCAGTTTGCTGCTGCAGGTGCTGCTTCTGCCAGTGAGATGGGCGGCAAGCAAAGGCAAGGCGGGCGGGGTGGGAAGCCGTGGCGGCCGGGAGGGTGAGAGCGCCGAGCAGGTACACAGTACGTGGGTTGCTTTTGTCAAAATAAGTCGTCTCGTACCTCAGCGCTGGCGCGACTGTGGGACTGCTGCACGCTCGCGCGCACACCCGCACGACACCATATCTCACGCATCCGCCTGCCGAAAAAAATCCGGGGTTTAGCTGGCATATCTCGGGCCCACGTTAGAGGGCATGATCTTAGGTGTTCTGGATAGCCCACAAGGGTCTTCTGTGGCATGGTAGCGGTGGTTTTGCGCGAGGCGTTCATTCAAAAATCACCATATCCCTTTCTACCCTTCTCTTGGTTCTCTACAGACGAGAGCAGGGCAGAACCGGGGACTGGGGAGCCGGAGCAGACGGCATCGGCCGCCGAGGGAACGTTGGGAAGAGGCACGAGGAGGGCGGCGACCTCGACCGACTATGGATGACCCGTCGCCAGACGACGCAGGGCAGAAGACGGTGAGGCGGAGCAAACGCGCAGGGCGAGACGAGGGAGGGAGCAGGACGTTGCGGAGATCAGCAGGAGGATGTACGAAGAGATTAGGAGCAGCAGGGACCCGAGGGACCATGTGGAAGACGGCTAGTGCTAGTTAGTCCCCCAGCGGGAGGACGACCCCGGCTAGTCGCCGACCACACCCACAAAGAACCCTGCACAAAGATCGCGAGGGGCGGGGGGACCTGTTCCTTTTTACCCATCTCACAGTAGAGAGGTGTCCGTTTTATTTATTTATTTATTTCTACCCTTCTCTCGCTCATTTCTCTCATCCTACGTCAGTACTACGGTCTACGGACTACACGCTACTAGTACCGTACGGGGTTCCCTCTAGTTAGTAGTAGTAAGTACTTTGTGTACTGGGCTGGGTTTTTAGGCATTGTGGGGTTGGCACTCCCATCGACCCTCATGACCTCCTGCGGTCTCTGAGATGGACACCAGTGGGTGTGGGACCACAGCCAGGATACACTCGAAGGCTGGGTAAGCAGTAGAGGTCGATACTCGACGCGTCCCACATGGTCTGTGTCGCTGTCGGCACGCTGTCGACAGGACGTCGAGCGACACCGGTGGCAGTGCCACCCAGGAGTGGTCGGGCGGTATCCCGTCATCAAAGAGCAACCATGTGATCCGTATGATGATTCCTGACAACCGCCTCAGTCAACTTTCGTCACAGTTCCCGCTCTGAGAGGAGCTGCGGGTCAGTTCGACAGCTGGAGCTGTGTCGCCGGCGTGCGGCGGCCTGCCTCCGGAGGTGCCTCTGAGGTGGACATTTTTTGGTCACCGTGAGAGAACGCGTTGGAATTTTTACTCCGGAACTTCAACTCCGCACGCGCACCGGCCAGGGCTACAATAGTGCCAGTGAGGCGGAGGCGCGAGTCGGAAGGCCGCGACCGTGATTTGGTCCCTCAATTTACCTACAATCGCTGTGAACCCAGCCACGTACCCCTGGTCTAGGTCTTCTTGCATTTTTTCGCTCTCCAGCCCTGTGCGGCGTGCGGCGGGTGTCTTCATGCACACGCACAGTAGAGGAGGGCTACGAAGCCTTCACACTCCAAGGGGTTGGTCCACATACAATGTGTGCTCTCTCGGCTCAAACGTCTCAAAGCCTCCGCACTCAGAGACATAGGCTGAGCCCCCTGCTCTTGCACCCCCCTCCCCGCCCCGCCCCCCTTCCCCTCTTCACCACGCCTCCTCGGCCGCGGAGTAGATGGGCAGCCTCGACCGCCCGACCTCCTCAGGCGCCGTGTAGACCGACCCGTCCGCCAGCCGGTGCATCCTTGCGAGCCTGCCGGGGGAAGGCTCCAAGAAGGGTCGAGGAAGGGTCGAGGAAGGGTCGAGGAGATGTCTCGGAGATGTCTAGGGGATGTCGAGGAGAGGTCGAGGAGAGGACTAGGGAGGTCTAGGGGATGTCGAGGAGAGGTCGAGGAGAGGACAGAGGGGAGGCCGGGGAGAGGTGGAGGAGAGGTCTAGGCCAGCCGGCTAGCCCCTCGCCTGTCGTGCAGCTGCTGCAGCAGCGCGCGCTGCTCGCGCCGCGCCTCCGCGTCGATCGAGAGCTCGAGCGAGTGCGAGGCGCGCTCGCGCAAGGCGAGGCCAGCCTCCTCCCTCGCCAACTCGCCGTGCAGCATCTCCAGCTGGTCCGCATAGAAGGTGTCGAGAGCCTCGTGACGGCGCCGCCGCGCCGCCGCCGCCGCCCGCCGCGCCTCCTCGCGCGTGGAGTGCTCAAGCCGCAGCCGCTCCTTCTCCGCCGCCAGCGCCTGCGCGCTCAGCCGGCGATACTCGAGGTCGTCGTGCGCCTAGTCTCGCAGGCGGGAGGTCAGCTCTCCCCCATGTCTCCCCGTATCTCGCACTCGAGGTGGTCGTGCGCCCAGACGGCAGGTGAGGAAGGGCCGGAGGGGGTCTGCAATTAAGCGGGTGCTCGAGATACGGGGAGATACGGGGAGATACGGGGAGATACGGGGAGATACGGGGAGATATGGCCTCGAGGACCGCCGGCTGAGCGCGCGAGCGAGAGACGGGGAGATGTGGGGAGATACAAGCGGGAGCTCGAGAGCGTCGCGCGCGCCTCCACACGCGCCGCACGCGCTCGCCGTGCCCGCACCAGCTCCTCCCTCACCCTCTCCCGCCGCAGCGCGTGCACGCGCTCGCTCCACTCCGCATTCCGCTCCGCGCTCCTCCCGATCGCAACCTGCCGCCGCTCCGCCCGCCGCAGCCCCGCTGCCTGCTGCCTCACTATCGACGCCTTGGGACCCCCGAGCCTACGTGCTGGATACACCAGCCTCGGGGCGGGAGGACGGGTCTCGTGCAGTGTCTTCAGAGCACCGCGTGAATACGAGGGAGGCGAATGCAGGCAATACGGCCGAACACGGCCGAATACAACTGAAGACGTGTCCTCTTGAGCGCTGGTTGAGATGCATGAATCCGTGTTCCGCGTCTAGGCCGCCAAGCCGCGAAGCCGCCGCCTCCGCCTCGCCCAGCGCCGCCGCCGAGCCGCGCGGGCCTGCCGCCCCCGCGCGCGCCGCAGCCTCCTTGCGCTTGGCAGAGGCCTGCGGCGAGACCACTCGCTGGGTAAACGGGGCTGCTCCAAGCGTTGCTGCACCTCGGCTGTCTCTCGGCTGTCTCTCGGGTAGATCTCGAGTAGATCTCGCCTGCATCTCCGCCATCATCTGCCTCATCTCCGCCAGCTTGTCCTGCGACGACTCGAAGAAGGCGAAGTCGCGCTTCAGCATCTTGCCCTTGGCGGGGTCGATCTCGAGCGCGCCCACCCACCTGAGAGAAGAAGGCTTCCAGATGCAGATCTCGCCATCCAGATGCAGATCTCGCAGGTCTCGCCAATCCAGATGCAGATCTCGCCGTCGGGGCGGGCATGCAGCTGCTGCACCCTTCCACAAGCACATCGAGAGCCGAGGCAGCGGGCGGCGGCTGTGGATCACAGCGGGTTGCAGGCGTGCCGGAAGGGTCTCGGAAGGGTCTCGGAAGGGTCTCGGAAGGGTCTCGGAAGGGGTCTGTGTCTCAGAGGTGTCTCAGAGGTGTCTCGGAGGTGTCTCGGAAGAACTGGCTCACCGGTCGATGGCGTCGTCGCTCGGCTTGACTTCGACGAGGGGCATGAGTGTGAGCATGCCGGCGCCGAACGCGTACGAGTACTTGAGCGGCGGCACCTTCGGGTACAGCGTGTGTGTGCGGGTGGGCCCGTCCTCCATGCTAGGAGGTGTGTAACACTGACTGACTGACTGACCTTCGGGTACGCCTTGATCTCGAGCATCGGCTTCGAGCCGAGGAGCGCCTCCTCTGTCCCGGCAGCCTTCGCCGTCTCGCGGAGCGCCGCTGCGTCGCTCTTGAGCTGCTGCGGGCTCATGCCGAGGGCGGTGATGATGGCGTCAGTAATGGCGACGCGCTCCGCCTCGGGCCGCTGCGCGAGGAACGTCTCGCAGAGCGCCTCGGTGCCCAGCGCAAAGACGGCGTTGTACCGGAACGACGGCGAGACGATCGCCATCTGAGAGCTGCCGAGCAGCTCGTTGACGAAGCCCTGCGCGTCGGGCGCGACGTACGGCTTCCCGTACGCCGCGAAAAACTTCTGGCGCGCCTCGTCGACCGTCTGCGGCGGCGACGAGCCCTCGCCAAACCCAAGAAGAGCACGCGCTGCCGCGGCGCGGCAGGAGGATGGGAGCGGTCGGCGAGAGGAGAGGAGCGCGCCGTGCGCGGATGGGAGGCTGGCGACAAGGAGAAGGAGGTGCTGCTTCATGCGAGGAGGAGCAGCGAGCTGGCGGCGAGCGGCGAGCTGGCAGCGGCGAGGAGGAAACTTCCAGGCAAAGAAAAGAAATAAAACTCAGGGCGACTTCAGGCCGAGCGACGGCGGCGGCTATGTGGCGTACAAGAAGGCGGACTACGCGCACGCCCTCTCGCGCTCTCTCGGACACCGACGTAAAGATGTACCTGTTCGAAACCTTCGGCGGGTGGTGCAACGCGAAACTGCCTGCTGCTGCGGAAACGTTTTATACCAAAAGGAGGGCTACACAGGGTTCCGGCTCCTAGCCAGATAGGGGGTCTGTTGCCTACGGTTAGACCCCATGCAATAGGTAGGTAGGTCCGGTTTTGACCGCCCCAGAGGGCCCCGCAATAGGTAGGTAGGTGGTGGTGGTGGCTGGTGGGCGGGCGGGCGGGGGGGGGGGGGTAAAAAAACCGCTTCGCTGCGCGGGAGACTCTGTCGAGGGAAGAGAGTGCCGTTCTGGAGCCGTCCAACGCCTCGAGAGCCCAGTAGGCCATGCTCTGGTGGGCTCGCGAGCGGCGCGCACCGAGGTACAAGCCGGCGCGCGGCGGGCGCTGGGAGCCTATTCACAGAGGGCTAACGGGCATTTTTTCGCTTCGCTGCGCGGCCTGGGAATAGGTAGGTAGGTGGGGCACGGAGCCTGGCGATTGGCGCCCGCAATAGGTAGGTAGGTAGGGCGTTTTGGTGCGAGTCATGTGCAGACCCCCTATCTGGCTAGGAGCCGGAACCCAGGCCCTCTACGCTGCGGAAACGTTATGCGACATGTCCCGACCGAGAGCGACTCCGCCGTGGAGTTGCGTGTGCGGCTCCGCAAGAGCGCCGCAAAGCGGCTCGCCGCCGTAAACGCGGGCCGTCCGAAGAAGGCTGTGCGTGACTACGCGACGGACAGCGACATCCGCGCCTGGACCTCAGATCTATTCAGGCTGGACGGCCGCGGTGTGATCAACGTGTGGGCGCCATTCAGCATGGTCGCCGTCGTGACCATCGCTTGGACACCCATCGTCATGCACTTTTTCGACGCCGATTCCGAGACGTGCTCCGCGCTGTCGAATGCGGAGGGCGCATTCCGGCTGCAGCTCACGGCGCTCTCCTTCCTGTTGGTCTTCCGCCTCAACCGCGCCGCAACGCGTCATTGGGAGGCTCGACAGCTGTGCGGCTGGATGATGATCCACTGCCGCGACCTCGCCATGTCGTCCGTCGCAGCGCACGCGAGCGCGCCGGGCGACTTCTCCGCCGAGACGCGAGACCGGCTGTGCGAGGTCGCGGTCGGATTCCCCGTAGCCTTCATGCTACACGTGTGGGGTCCTGCCCAGTCGGCTCGCCGCGCCGACCTCTTCGAGAGCATGTGCTACAACATCTTCGACGCGCCGACGATGGAGTTGCTCAGCTCGGCGGCCCACCGACCCCTCGCGATGGTCGAGCACGCGCAGGCGGTCCTCGCCTCGCAGTTTCTGTCTGGCTCGGTTCGTGCGCTCTCTCTCTCCTCCCTCCCTCCCCTCCCCTCTCCCTCCAGCCATGGGTAAAATGGCAATGCTTGGGAGGTTGTGAATGGCGTCGTTTTGCCACGTAGGCGCGCGACAATGTTGCGATGGCGCAGCTGTACGCGAGCCTGCTGCACAGCGCAAAGGGGCTCGGCCAGCCGCTCGGCGGCTGCGAGCGCATCCAGGGCACGCCGCTGCCCTACGCCTTCGTGGTGCATCTCCGCAGCTTCTTGCTGCTCGTGCTCTGCGGCATCCCGGTCGTGTATGCGTGCGACTGGCGTTGGGCGACCATCCCGCTCTCCCTCCTGGTGGCGTTTGGGCTGCTCGGCATCGAGGCCGCGTCCGTCGAGTGTGAGCGCCCCTTCTCGCCCACCCCCACCAAGAACGACCACGATGTGGAGAAGTTCTGCGGCGTCCTGTCGCGCGAGGTCACGGAGATGCTCGAGCGCGCGGCGGCGAGCACGGCGAGCGCCGAGCCACAAGGCTCTCCACGTGACTAATAAATAAACAAAACGCACACCTCTACTAGGAGATGGGTAAAAAGGAACAGGTCCCCGCCCTGCGGTCTTTGTGCAGGGTTCTTTGTGGGTGTGGTTGGCGGCTAGCCGGGGTCGTCCTCCCGATGGGGGACTAGCACTAGCCGTCTTCCACATGGTCCCTCGGGTCCCTCTGCTGCTCCTAATCTCTTCGTACATCCTCCTGCTGATCTCCGCAACGTCCTGCTCCCTCCCTCGTCTCGCCCTGCGCGACTGCTCCGCCTCACCGTCGTCCGCCCTGCGTCGTCTGGTGACGGGTCCACGTGACTGTTTTGGGGTGGGAAGTTAAACTGGTGTGCGTTTATGCGGAGGAGGACGACCCAGGTCCGCATCCACGAGTGGATCAGTCGAGAGTTCTCGCGCCTCAAGCGGCGCCAGGCAGCCTCGCGCCTCAAGCGGCGCCAGGCAGCCTTGCTCGGCCTCAGCGGCAGCGGCGGCCTGATGAGATTGGCGGCCTACTCAAAGCTCTAAAGTCAGGCGGGTTTGACGTCTGTGCGTGCAGCCCCTTTTGGCATACTCACATAGCAGCTAGACTACTCGCATCAACACACACACAGCGCGCTGCTCACAAACAAGCAAGAACTCGCAAAGAAAGAAGAATGTTATCTGAAACAACACGAAATTCGGCGGCCCTCGATCCCACGTCCGCAGGTGAGAAGGCCTGAGACACGCCGCGGAGACACAGATCCCACATGGGCTGCTCGCACTCCTCCGCAACGACCACGCGCACGGCGAAGCAGTCCCGGAGTGCGAAGCAATCCCGAGCAGTCTGCGCCGGCCTCCCTGTTGTCGGGATCCTACGCTGCGACGGAGCACGATGGGAGTGCGCGCAGGCGATTGTGAGCGCGGCTGACAGGGCCGAGTACCACTACCGCATCGTGTACGCTGTGGTGGAGGGATTGCCCTATCAGCATGTGCGCGCTGGGAAGCCTCTGAGTGCGTCCCAGGAGGAGGCGTTACGAGTGGCCGTCGAGGAACTTGACCTCGCTGAGTGCGTTTGCATCACCGGCGATTGCGGATCTTTTGTGCACTACCAAGGCTTGATACGCAGCCGAGACGTAGCCGAGATCCTAGCCGCCATAGCTCACCACAGCCGTCTTTCCGAAGCAGGTGCCGTGCGCTCGCTGAGCGCGCCGTCGTGCTGTCGCCACTGGTGCAGGCGTCGCTCATCGCCACGATGTATCAGAGGACGGAGAAAGCGATCGTTGTGACCAACGACACAAACGACTACAGCCAGGCGGACCTCGAGCAGAATCTGGCGGCAGAGATGATGTCCACGGCGCAACGGCGGGCATGGCGTCGTCATCTGTGGTGCGATTGTGATTAGGTCGCGATCGGGCTCGAGCAAGACGACGCGAAGCGCTTTATCGTCGTCGGCCTGCAGCACATTCGCGGTTTCGCGACCGCCGATGTCGCCGACCAGGAGGTTAGCGAATGGGGCCTCGTCGACGAGTCGGTGACCACGGTGGAGCGGAAGGCCATCATCACCACGGTGGAGCGGAAGGCCAAGGAGAGCAATGCAAAGGCCATCATCCTCGAGTCGACGCTGCTGCCTTCGTTCAGCGACGCGCTGCGCGCCAGGCTCGGCCTGCCCGTCTTCGACGCCCTCACGCTGGTGGACTACTTTGTGCACGCGAGTACCGACAACCCTCGATTCGGCCTCGACTTTGACGAGCGGCGGGAGACACTTCCTAGACACTTCCTAGACACTTCCTAGACACTGCCTTGTTCACACCTCGACTTTGACGAGCGGCAGGCGGGGCGCTGCAGCGCTTACGACGGCCTCGACCCCGCGAAGCTTCCCGCCATCGGCATTCTGCGCATCGATTACGAGTACCCACCCGCCTTGGGCGACATCGCTTGCGAAAAGTCATACGGCTACCGCACAACGCACGAGGCGCCGAGTCGCCCCTCCCCCCTTCCACCCGGACGCTCGCCCGCCCAAGGCACCCCACGCTGCCATCACAGGTGGCCGAGGGCCTGACGTTTGAGGTTGCGCAGGAGGGAGGGCCGCTTTGCAGCGAGAAGCGCGAAAACGTGGCGGCAGCTCTCCAGCGGCTTCAAGCGACGCCTGGCGTCGTCGGCATTGCGGGTGATTGCGGCTTCCTCATGAACTATCTCGCCGACGCACGCTCCGTCTCCAAGCTGCCGTGCTTTATCTCGGCCCTCATCCAGTGCGACTTGATGGCGACCGCCTACGGCGACGAGGCGGCCCGCGCCTCCGCTCTCCCAAGCCCACGCCCAAGCCCAAGCCCAAGCTCGCCAGTCGGTAATCCGACGCTGCCCTCCCTGCCGGCCGCGCAGGCGCAGTTCCTCGTGCTCACGGCCAACGGCGCGGCGCTTGAGCCAAAGTTCGCCGAGATGCTCGCGCTCGCAAACGTGACAGAGGCGGAGGTGCAGGCGCGGTTCCACGTCCTCGGTCTCGAGGACGTCGACGGCTTCGACGCCGTCGCAAAGGGAGAGGCGGTCGACACCGCGCGGGTGGAGCCAGGAATCGTGGCGCTGGCGAAGGCGGCGGTGGCTCGGTTCCCGGACGTGCGCGCGATTCTCCTCGAGTGCACCGAGCTGCCCCCGTGAGTGCGCCTCGACTTCGGGCTCCGTTCTCACTGCGTTCCAAGTACTGCGTGGCCACTGTAGGTACGCCGACGCGCTTCGGTCAGCGCTGGGCGTGCAGGTAGAGAGGTAGTTGGGAGAGACGCAACTAGGAGGCAGTCTTCGGAGACTGATTTTGTGTCGCCCTGTCGGCAGGTGTTCGACGCCATCACGTTGGTGGATTACGTCCACTCCTCCACGGCCGACAACCCCCACTTTGGGGTGAAGTTCCAAACCACGGTTCCCGAGACGCCCTCCACACCCTCCTCCACACCCTGGAGAAAATCATCGCCGACTCTGTGAGGGTCCGCTTCCTACACGGTGAAGAGCTTGAGGGTCCGCCCGCGTTTCGGCCGAAGACCACTCCCCGTCGGCGGCCTAGGTCGACTGGCGGCTAGCGGATCGCTGCCGAGTAGTGAGTAGTGAGTAGTGAGTAGACGTGCCTGTATGTCCTGACAGTGTAAGAGGTGTGCATGTGCAGGGTGCGTGAGTCCGTGATGGTGATCACGCACCTTGTCTAGGTTGCGTGCACACGCGCTGAGTAGTGAGTAGACGTGCCTGTATGTCCTGACAGTGTAAGAGGTGTGCATGTGCAGGGTGCGTGAGTCCGTGATGGTGATCACGCTCCTTGTCTAGGTTGCGTGCACACGCGCTGAGTACTACGTAGTGATAGATACGTGCTTGCGAACGAGCCGCCAGAGTACGAGGCGCCGCTGCCGCGTCGTCTGCGCCTCATCCGCAGCCGGGAGCACGGCGGCGTCAGCTACTCCAGCACGGCCGCCCGCGAGGTGATCGAGGTTTGGCGCGGACAGCGCCGCCACCCGCATGCCAACGGCTACTACGCGGGGGCGTGCGAGGAGGGCGCCGCACCTCCGCAGTGGTGCGGGGGCGTGATGGGTTGGCGCTTTAAGCAGCTGCAGCAGTACGTCGCGGCGCTCGGCACGGGGTCGATGCGGAGGAGCGCGGGCGAGCCGGTGAGCTCGATACCTCTCTTGACCCGTCGTCCCATTCTCTCTCCAGTCCGCAGCGCCACGCCACATCTGAGGACCTGAAGACACAGCACAGCCTCATGCGAGATTATACCACGGACACCCACGCGCAGGAACCACCGCCCGCTTCGCCGGGAGCCAGGGAGTACGTCTTCAAGGAGGTCGTCTTTCAGCAGCTGGACATGCACCCCGTGCACGGCGCCTGGTGCGCGAAGCAAAAGGCGTTCCTCGCGACGGCGGTCGCAAGCGAGCCCCTCAAGTTCTTCGACTTCATCGAGGACGCCGCGCTCGTCGTGCCAAAGGGCTGCCGCGAAAGCCTGCCGCGCTGCCTCTGCGTGCACAAGCGCGACTCGGTCGCCTCTGTCATCTTCAACCGCCCAGACGCCGGCGGCGCGGCGCGCTGGCGGGATGAGTGACCGAGATAGTGCGCGCGTCACGCCTTCTCCAGGGCCTTCGCGCGCCCCCCCCGCGCGCGCGCGCGGCGCGCCGCGCGCCGCGCGGCGGCACGCGAGCAAGCGTCGCTTCAGCCGCGTTTTTTTTTCGACATGCAAGCAAGGAGGAGGCTGCTTTTTGTGCCGACTTCGCCCGACAGGGGGACCGACCATGCCCAAATCGAGCCAGAAGCGAGCGCTGGACGGGCCTGCCCAGCCAAGCCCGCACGGCGGCGCCGGCTTTCTCAGCGCCCGGCCAGAACCGTGCACACTTCCTGCGCCTCCGGCAGAATTCCTCAAGCCGCGTCTCCCCCAGCGCTCGAGCGCGGCTGTAGAGTCGGCCACCTGTACCTCGGCGCCGCGCGGCCTGCCGGCGGCCAAGCGGCAGAACAGCAAGGGAACCAACAAGCCTCCTCCTCCTTCGCCATGGCAGCCGCAGCCGCCACCGCCGCCGCCGGCGCCTCGAGAGCCGAGCGTGGCAGCACCCCAGTCGGCCGAGTGTGCTGTGGGCGCGTACGCGTCGCCGGCGCTGCGGCACCTGCACGGCACGCTGCTGCTCGCCACGCTAAGCGGCGCCCCTTCCCTCTCCACCCTCGCCCCCAAGCTCACCGGCATGCTGCTCGAGCTTCCTCCGGAGACGGTTCCTCGCCATAGCTAGCGAGACACCTATGCCCTCGCCTGCCCCCTCTCCCTCCCTGCCCCGCCTGTGCGCCTAGGTGTCCTGACACGCACCTCTCCTCGCGGCCCAGGTCTCCTCTCTCCTCGCCGACAGCGAGGCGCTCGGCCGAGCCGTGGACGAGGCGTGCTCCGAGCGTAGCCGAGAGTGGCCGAGAGTGGCAGAGATTAGCGGAGATGAACGGAGATTAGCCGAGCGGTGGACGAGACGCACGCGACGCACGTGCTGCGCGAGAGTAGCCGACGCCACCCGACGTCCCCGAGTCCACCCGAGTCCACCCGAGTCCACCCGAGATCACCCGAGATCACCCGAGATCACCCGAGACCACCCGAGATCACCCGAGATCACCCGAGATTAGGCGCTCGACGTGCTGCGCGAGGCCTCTGATCCGCGCGCCCTCGTCGTGCCTTCCGGCGCGGGTGGGGCCGCCGCCGCCGCCGCCGCCGCCGCCGCCGCCGCCGCCGCTGGCGGCGCAGGCGGCGCCCCGCTGCGCGAGCGTGTCGCGGGTCCCCCTCCGCACCAGAGTTGCTGCGGCGCTGACGCGGCAGGGAGGAGGCCGGCGCTGTCGGTGGTGGTTGCGCCAGAGGCGGAGACGGCAGCGGCCGACGCGGGCCTGGCCACGGGGCTGACGCCGCTCATCGGCGGGCTGCCGCGTGCGTCTCGAGAGCAGCCGGACTCCGGTTGAGACCATCACGGCCACTGCTGCGAGTCGTAGGCGGGCTGCTGCGCGTCTCGCCGCGCCCGTCTGCAAACAGGCACTCGACCACCAGCGTTCAACCTCGAGCTCTTCATTCGCTTGTCATTCATTAAAAAATAGCTAATGAACAGGTACTCGACCACCAACCTTCTCGCCGCCGGCGGCAAGCCGCTGCGCGCCGGCGGCAAGCCGCAGCAGCGCGCGGGCGCCGCCACCGCCGCAAACCCGGCAGCGAGATCGGCAGCGAGGTCGGCAGCGGCACAAGGGAAGGGCGCGGAGCGGCGGCCGAAGCTCGAGAAGGCCGGGGCGGCGACCGGCTGCGGCGGCGAGGCTGCGCCGTGCGCGACGCAGGCCGTCCGGCCGAGGCCGCGGCAAAGGGCGCGGGCGCGGAGCCAGAGGGCGCCGGCGGAGAGGCCGCTCGGGCGGCCAGTGCCGGTGGCGGTGGCGTGAGCGAGGTCTATGCGTCTCGCGTGAGCGGCACCCGCTAGGCCCGAGACGAGCGAGATCGCGTGCGCAAGGGCTGAGAGAGTGAGAGACTCTCTCGGCGCGCGCGCGGTAAAGCCGTACGAGAGACGCCCGGATGCACCACCTTTTTTTCGCATCGCGTGTTTTTTGGTGGTCTCTGTTACTCTCTCATCGGCGTCTACCATTCTATTCGATCCACACCTGGGAGTGGGACCTGCCGACGAAACACGATAAACGCCTGCGAGTGAGTGAAGCTTCTCAAGCTACTTCCCTCACGCCTCAGTCGAGAGTCGTGTCAGTGAGTCTGTCAGAGCCCCAGTGCCCACTCTTCGATCTTCTTGGGCAGTAGCTGGTTCGACAGGTCCTCGCCGTGGCCCAACTTGCCAAAGTCTTCACCGCCCCAGCTCCAGACGGCGCCGTCGGCGGAGAGGGCGAAGTTGTGGCTGCGTGATGCCGACACAGCGACGACGCGCTGGCCAGCAAAGGCCTCGACCTTCTTGGGCAGCAGCTGGTTCTGCCCGTCGCCGTGGCCCAATCGGCCAAAGAGTCCATCGCCCCAGCTCCAGGCGCAGCCGTCAGCAGCAAGGGCCAGGCTGTGGTACTTTCCAGCCGACATGCTCACGGCGCGCTCACCCAGCGACTGAGGAAGGCCCGTCGGCGTGTTGAGCCCCGTCACGCCCTCGCCGTGGCCGAGGAGGCCTGGGACGTGATCCGCGTTGCCGCACGACGAGAGCCGCCCCTCGCCGTCAATGAATACGCTGTGCCGATTGCCTGCCGCCGCCCTCGCCTTCGGGTTGGACTCGCGCAGCAGCGCAGAATAGCACAGCCACCGCACGGCGCAGCTCTCGCCCTCTGGCAGCGCCGGCAGCTCGAATCCGCGCTCTCGCGCCCACAAGCGGATGCCCTGCTCCGCGAGCGAGTGAAAGAGCAGCGAGACGGCCGCGGCGCGAGAGATGTCGACGGGGCTGTCGCAGCGAGAGAGGGCGCGCTCGAGCTCCCTGGGGAGATCGAAGCGGCGGGCGGGGGACGGCCGACAGGCGGGGTTGACCACGTAGCGCGTGTCGGGGCTCGGTGCCGAAAGCGGAAGACCGACAGGCCAGGCCCACCCGCGCCACTAGCCGTCCGAGTCTAGCGAGAAAGGCTCCGACCAGCGGTCCCGGTGCAGCCACAGCAGCGGCGCGCGCGCCTCGCCCAGCCCGTACCTCCGCAGGAAGCGGCGCCTCGCCTGCCGCTCCTGCTCCGCCGCGGCGGCGCAGTCTGCAGGCGGACAGCCGCTGCGGTTGGCAGAGGGTTCGCCGCGATCGGTGGCGGCCTGCGGGCACCCGCATGGCGCCGGACCGGCCGGGTGGAAGAAGGCCTCGACGAGGAAGGGCGCCTGCTCACGGCTCCAGCTGTGAGCCAGTCCGCGGGCGGGAGAGGGGGCGCGAGGCGAGGCGCCGCCGTGCCACCCCTCGCGACTGAGCCTCGGCTGCACCTCGGCTGCACCTCGGCTGCATCTCGGCTGCATCTCGGCTGCATCTCGGCTGCATCTCGGCTGCATCTCGGCTGCATCTCGGCTGCCATCTCGGCTGCCACTCGCCGCCGCGTGCCACTCTGCCTCGCGGCGCGCGAGGCTGCCGTTCCACACCGTCGGGCTCACCTGCCGCACGGAAGGAGCAACCATCGATGACTGACCAACTCATGAGTGACTCCCAACTCATGAGCGACCCAACGACTTCTACACTCCGCTCGTGCCAGCTCGCCTGCCACGCGGGATTAAGAAGTCACACTCCGCGCTTCATCGCGCGCCCCTCGGCCGTCGGACTCGCCACAAACTCGTAGCAGCGGCTCGTGCGCCGCTGCGCCGCGGCGGCCGCCTCTCTCCGCCGGCTGAGCTCCCGCAGCAGCGTCGGGAAGTGCCGTGGCGGCCAGGCCGCGCCGCTCTCAAAGCAGGCGCCGCCGCCGGCGACCGCCGCCGAGGCGTTGCATGCGAAGTCGCACGGCGCGCCGTTCCACCGCCGCAGCGCCCCTCGCCGCTCGGCCTTGCAGAAGCACCCGTCCGGCCTCCACCGCGTGGAGCCGTCGTACCTGCCACACTCGGCCACTCTCGAGTCAATGCTTGGAGGGCTCGCTTCGCCCGGCCTCTGCCGCATGCGGCTGCCGCACCCGAATCCGCACCGCACCTCGCCTGGCCGCGGGCGAAGGATGACGCCGCCGCGCCGCCCGCCGCCGAGCGGCAGCGGGATCAGGTCCGAGGCGAGCCCGGGCCGGCGCATTGAGCGGAAGAGCAGCCCGGTGGGCAGCCGGTCGCGCGGGTTCATCGCAAGGCAGCGGCCCGGCTCACGGTACTGGTCGAGGGCGGCCGAATCGTCGCCGGCGCGGTTCGCCGCCTCCGCCGAGCAGGGCAGCCAGCTCTGCCGCCCCGCCACGTCCTCCGTATTGTCCCAGACGTGCACGAAGAGTCCCATCCGGTCGGGGTCACTCGAAGGGTGGCCGCTCGCAAAGCGGCCGTTGATGCCGTCGAGCGTCTGGCGCTGCTTCGCGGCGACGGCCTCCTCGCGGGCGAGGGAGCCGTGTCGCGGGGACATCAGGGCAGAGCGAAAACAGCTTGGGTTACGGTACCGAAGGGGAAGGGGAGTGTATCTAGCGTCCACCCGTACCGCGTTGGTGTCCAGTCGACCGGGCGGGTCGGATCCGACTAGGGGCGGGCCCAGCCGGGCGGAGAAGACCATCCCACTCGCGGTGCGTCGCACCGTCCGGTCCGGTTTTCGTCTCGAGCGGATCGTGAGACGGCCGCGAGAGTGAGCACCGCGATCACAGTGCCGTGGAGCCGGCCGGCCGGCTCGCAGCCATGCCGCTGGTGCGCCACGCCCGCCTCCCGTCCGGTGGCTCCAACCACAGCCCGCCTCACCGTCCGTGAAGCTTCTGGGGCCCGTCGGTGCCGTCGTCCGGAGGGTATCAGTGGGGCATCATCGAAATCTCGGTTGTGGGGCAGCATTGACTCCAGCGGCCCCTCACATCCCGGAGGGACGGCGGACGAGCCGGCCAGTGAGGGGGCGGATCGGTCCCATATAGGAGCGGGCCCAGCCGCGCGGAGAAGACCACCGAGCTCGAAACACGTCGCCGCGGCCGGCCGTTTCGCAAGCCTGAGCGGGTCGCCAGACACCCGTGAGAGCAAGCAGCTAGAGCGCCGTCGTAGCCGCAGATCGACTCGAGGAGCTTAATGTCCACGGTACCAGTTGTGGAGAGTGGCGGCGCGGTGCGTGTAGATGCATCGATTGAGGGCTCTTCTTCGAAACGCGACGGGTACGGCATGACAACTGCCAGTACAGTTTTACGCCGGCCAGCGTGAGAGCACAACAGGGAGCCGGCGACCCGTACGCTTTGCGCGTGGCGACTGGTGGCTGTCTGGAGCTCGTGCGAGCTGGGCCGACGCGTGGCCGAGCCGAGAGGACCAGCGAGCGACCACATTGGCGATGAAGCTTGGCGGCCGGCGCCTCGTCGCCAGACGTCACAGCGGCGTGGACGTATGAGTGTGCGGCGACGGTTACCGGCAATTCCGGCCCGGTGTGGCCGGCAGCTGCCTAGCACTGGCCTGTTGCCGGCGCCGCGGTGGCGGAGAAGTCGTCTCGCCGCCGTGGCGGCGGTCGGCAGGTGCGAGCGTGATACCATCGTGTGCGACGGACACGGTCTCCGGAACCCGGACTGACCTTTAGGCAGTTTTAGGTGTGTTGTTGGCAAATCAAGACACAGAGCTCACACATTTAGGCAGTGAAAATTTCTCCGCTTCGAAAGCTTTTGCCCGCCAAAGAAAGCCCATTCTTGACTTGGGCCCTCGCCTGCGGGCGCTTCTCTCGAGGTCTCAAGATACACACAGAACGAACTACTCGTATCTAGATACGATTTTCCCGCCGGACGTCGGCTCTTTGCCAAGTGTCAAGTGTCACACATGTCCCATCGGAGCGAGGAGCGTCGCTGGCGTGATGAGCAACGGCGCGCCGAGTGCGAACGCGAATATTGGCGATGGCGGGGCGAGCCGCGACGGCGGTCGCGATCGCGCGATGAGCCGCGGCGGGATGAGCTGCGACGGCGCGACGAGCGTTGGCAAGGCGAGCAATGGCCGCACCATGACGGGCGGCATGACGAGCGGCGCGGCTACGACGATCGGGGCAGAGGCCAACGCGAGCGAGACTGGTACGATCCGCGCGATGACCGGCGCGACGGCCGACGCGGCGAGGGGCAGCCTCAGCACAGCGGTCGCCGGGTGGGACCGCCGATGCACGGTGCGCAAGGATGCGACGAGCAGGGAAGCCGCGACGCACGAATGCGCAATGAGCGCTCCGCGTCTAACCGCTCTGCTGCCGGTGGTCAGCTCAATGCTAAGCAGCTCAGCGGCCGTATCTCGCATGCCAGTGGCGCCGACGAGCTGCTCACGCTCTTTGCTGCCCACAGAGCGAGCTTGAACCACATCCACGCTGCGAACCTGTGGAACAAACTGGGCAAGCAGCGCGTCGAGCGGCGGCACGAGGAGCAGCTTGAGCAGCTGGTGCAGCGCACGCTGTACCTCATTCCTTCGTGCCGTGCACGCGAGCTGGCCAACGTGTCTCACGGCGTTGCAAAGTGCGGCCTGCAAGCGAGGATGGTGCACCCGTTGTTCGTAGCGGTGGCGGAGGCGGCGGTGCGCAGCGGGCTGGATGGCTTCATCCCTCAGAACCTGGCCATGACGGTGTGGTCGTACGCGACGGCGGGCGTGGCTGCGGACGCGCTGTACGCGGCGGTGGCGGAGGCGGCGGTGCGGAGCGGGCTGGATGGCTTCAACCCTCAGGACCTGGCCAACACGGTGTGGGCGTACGCGACGGCGGGCGTGGCTGCGGACGCGCTGTACGCGGCGGTGGCGGAGGCGGCGGTGCGGAGCGGGCTGGCTGGCTTCATCCCTCAGAACCTGGCCATGACGGTGTGGTCGTACGCGACGGCGGGCGTGGCTGCGGACGAGCTGTACGCGGCGGTGGCGGAGGCGGCGGTGCGCGGCGGGCTGGCTGGCTTCAACCCTCAGAACCTGGCCATGACGGTGAGGGCGTACGCGACGGCGGGCGTGGCTGCGGACGCGCTGTACGCGGCGGTGGCGGAGGCGGCGGTGCGCGGCGGGCTGGCTGGCTTCAACCCTCAGTCCCTGGCCAACACGGTGTGGTCGTACGCGACGGCGGGCGTGGCTGTGGACGAGCTGTACGCGGCGGTGGCGGAGGCGGCGGTGCGCGGCGGGCTGGCTGGCTTCAGCCCGCAGGCCCTGGCCAACACGGTGTGGGCGTACGCGACGGCGGGCGTGGCTGCGGACGAGCTGTACGCGGCGGTGGCGGAGGCGGCGGTGCGGAGCGGGCTGGCTGGCTTCAACCCTCAGAACCTGGCCATGACGGTGAGGGCGTACGCGACGGCGGGCGTGGCTGCGGACGCGCTGTACGCGGCGGTGGCGGAGGCGGTGGTGCGCGGCGGGCTGGCTGGCTTCAACCCTCAGTCCCTGGCCAACACGGTGTGGGCGTACGCGACGGCGGGCGTGGCTGCGGACGAGCTGTACGCGGCGGTGGCGGAGGCGGCGGTGCGCGGCGGGCTGGCTGGCTTCAGCCCGCAGGCCCTGGCCAACACGGTGTGGGCGTACGCGACGGCGGGCGTGGCTGCGGACGAGCTGTACGCGGCGGTGGCGGAGGCGGCGGTGCGCGGCGGGCTGGCTGGCTTCAACCCTCAGAACCTGGCCAACACGGTGTGGGCGTATGCGACGGCAGACCATTATCACCAGGCGCTGCTTGTCAACTGCTCGCGCGTGATCAGCGACTCGCTCTCGCGGGATCCGTCGAGGTGGAGCGAGGAAGCCCGCCGTCAGCTTCACCAGTGGCAGCTCTGGCTCTCCCTGGAGCGAGGAGCAGACGCGCAGCAGCACCTCCTCTCCGCGTCCCAGCGCAAGCTCTGCTGCGACGCCATGCAAGGCACCGAGGTTACGATCTCGCGCTTGCAACGCTCCGTCGCGGCTGCCCTCGCCGCCGTCCAGCACGGCTTGAGGAGGAGCATCTCGAGCCGCGCACTGGCTACTCGCTCGACCTGGCGCTGCCCTCTTCACGCCTTGCGGTCGAGGTGGACGGTCCCTCTCACTTCCTGCTGCCCGACGGCCGGGGCGTGCGCAAACCCAATGGGCCAACGCTGCTCAAGCGGCGCCTCCTCGCGGCGGCTGGCTGGAGGGTGATCAGCGTTCCATTCTACGGGTGGAACGGCTTCGCGACGGCCAAGGAGCGGCAAACCTACCTGCAGGGGGCGGTCGCCCCGCTGTTGGGCTAGTACTGTGCACACTGACTATTCTCATTGTCGCTTGGCTTCCGTGGTTTACCTGTGTTTGGAGTCGGCCAGTGTACGCGTCAGTCCCGTGCCCGTGTTCCTGTGCGTTAAACTATTTGTGGAAAATAAAGAAGAAAAATAGACCACCCAAGGGAGGGACGGGAGATTTTTTTTGCAATTTGGACACGTGCACGCGCGGTTTTTTCTCTGTTGTGGGGTATGGCTCACTTCCCGGGCATTTCACACTATACTTAGTCCGAGCCTGGCTGTTCTTCACCTTTCTACCTACCTACCTGCTGGCTGGCCGGAGGCACTCACTTCCGCGCACTAAGTTGGTGCGCGTAGTGTCCCGGCCTCCGAGACCACCACTCCCGGGAGCACTTCACCACTTGACCCGCCTCGGCGCACCACTAGCCCTCGTCCAGCTCACAGCGGACAGACTAGGAGTCGTGATTTCTTGTTGGTTTCCTAAAATCTCTCAGACTAACTTGCGCCGACTTAGTTCCCCGCAGGGCCCGGGACCACTCACTCACTAGGTAGGACTCACTGCGGCATCGGTGCTCTTCACACGACCTGGCGAGGGCTCCTGGGGAGTGGACCGCGAGGGGATTTTTTTCTCGGCCCGAGGCCCGAGCTGTGAACACGCTCTTTGGATCCGGGGGTGTTTTTGTGTGAACACGCGCTTCTTGGGTCCGAACACGTGCGTCTTGGGTCCGGGGTTGTGTTTTTCTGTGAACACGCGCTTTTCTGTGAAGACCTGAAGACATCGGACAAGACACAAAAACAAATCTCTCTCGCTCGGACAAGTGGTCCACACACGCTGAACAGAATGTTCAATCTCAATGCCCCGGGCCCCTCTGCGCGCGGGCCTTCTAGGCCCGCGGGTAGTCTCCCCCCATCCCCAGGGCCTCCAGGGCTCGCACCTCAACCTCTCACACAAAAACACACAACCACGGACCCAAGACGCACAAGCTCAGACAGTCGAGAAAGGGATAGACCGCAACGACAGTCAGAAGTCAGCGCTGGGTCCCAGGGCGAATGCGATGACGGCCTCTAGTGTGTGAGCTCTAGCTAGTGAGCTCATCGCTACTATATGCAGCGAGTTAGGAGCCGACCGACCGACCCTCGCGTCCGGTGCTCACCGACGGCCACCCGCCCACGCGCCGCCTACGCGCAGCGCGTGCGCCGCAAACTCGCCCGCCGACAGCGCCGGCCAGTCGCCATCGCCCATCGGCCGTCGCGAGAGGCCTGCCCGGCTGTCGCCGCGGGGCCCCCACGAACACCACGCGTCGGATGCGGTGCCGCGCGAACTCGCGCGCAAAGTGCACGCCCCACGCCCGCCGCAACGTCGTAGCGAAGTAGGACCGCGCCTCCTTCGCGCTACGCGCGCCAATCCGCCTCCAGTGCTGCTTGGATGCCGAATCCACCACACAGTCGCACAGACCAGCGCACAGCGCCGCCACCTAATTTCTTCTCATAACAAGGCTGTGAACACCCCAACCTCTCACAGACCAGCGCACAGCGCCATAGGAGGTATTTTCTTCTCAATAACGAGGCTGTGAACACGCGCCGCGAGGCAAGGTAAAAGCTTCATAAAGCCGACCTGTGGCCTCCAGCCTCCCCCAAAGGTCGCTGGCTGCGGTCGCGTCCTTCCGCAATCCGCTCACGCTGAAGGCGATGTTTGCGGACCAAGTGCAGGGGCTCGACGTGCCGGCGGCGGCGAAGCTGGTCGGGATCCGTCAGGACCGGGCTGCCGACGGCGCCGTCGAATGGACCGTCACCTTCCGCCTCCCGCCGCTGGCCGGCCAGCTGCACCAGCCGCGGAGCCGCCCTCCGACTCCGCCGGTCGGAGGCGCGGCCGACGCAGAGGCGGCGGCGCGGCTGCCGAGGCCGGCGCCGCTGAGCGACCAGCAGGTCGCCCCCGTCGGCTTCACCGCCTCGCCTCCCATGCCGCTGGCAGGCATTGACCGGGCGCAGAGCCGCTCGGTCGGCACGGGGCTCGACCAGCTCGCGCTGTCTCGGCACACGGACGCGGGCTCGCCCACGCCGGACGGGCGCTGGCCGAGCAGCCCATTCGGCTTCCCTTCTAGGAAATGTCTAGGAAATGTCAAGGAAATGTCTAGGCACTGGCCGAGCAGCCCGTTTGGCTTCCCGCGCCTGCCACTCCGCCCCAACCAGCAGAACCGGCTCTTCCCGCTGCGCTGCACCGTCCAAAAGTACATGTGGGGCAAGTTTGGGTGCGACTCGCTCGTCGCGGCCATCGCAAAGAACAACGACACCGACCTGACCGTGACCGTGGAGGTGCCGCCCGCCGAGCTGTGGATGGGCACCCACCCGTCTAGGAGCTGTCTAGGAGCTGTCTACGGCATGCCTCCTCCAGGTGCCGTACGCCGAGCTGTGGATGGGCACCCACCCCTCGGGCCCGTCGATGGTCATGCTGCAGGTGCCTCGACATTTCCTAGACATTTCTTAGACATCTCCTAGCCGATGGTCATGCTGCAGGTGCCTCGACATTTCCTAGACATTTCTTAGACATCTAGTCGATGGTCATGCTGCAGGTGCCTCGACATTTCCTAGACATTTCTTAGACATCTCCTAGCCGATGGTCATGCTGCAGGTGCCTCGACATTTCCTAGAGATTTCTTAGACACCTCCTAGCCGATGGTCATGCTGCAGGTGCCTTGGCGCATTCTCACCCCCCTCTCCGACTGGCTCAAGCTCAACCCAGCGATGCGCGAGATGCCGCGGCTCAAGGCGCCCCCGCCCGCCGCCTTCCCGGCCGGCGGCGGCGGCGGCGGCGGCGGCGGCGGCGGCGGCGGCGGCGAGAATGGGGACGGCGGCGGCGGCAGCAGTACCCGGCTGCCATTCCTGTTTAAGGTTCTCTCGGTGCGGACGGCGCTAGCCCTAACCCGAACCCGAACCCGAACCCGAACCCTAACCCTAGGTTCTCTCGGTGCGGACGGCGCTGTCGATCCAGGCGCACCCAAACAAGACGTTGGCGGCCAAGCTTCACCGCGAGAAGCCGCAGCACTACAAGGACGACAACCACAAGCCCGAGATGACCATCGCGGTCACGCCCTTCGAGGCGCTCTGCTCCTTCCAAAAGATCAACTCCGTGCTCGAGAACTGCAGGGCGTGCCCAGAGCTGGTCGCCGTGGTCGGGAGGGAGGCTGTCGCCGCCCCGGCAGCTCTTCACACCTCCCGGCTGTGAACAGGTCGCCGTGGTCGGGAGGGAGGCTGTCGCCGCCCTCTCCGCCGCCGCCGAGAAGGCGGCGCCGCTCACGCCTGCATGGCCGACCGCGAGGTGGGGCAGGAGGGGCGCGACGGCGAGGGCTGGCGCAGCGCGCGACTCGTGGTGTGAACAGCGTCTCTTCACACCTACTGGCGTGAACAGGCGAGGGCTGGCGCAGAGCGCAACTCGGCGAAGCACGCGGCGCCCCACTCGCTCCCGGAGGGAGTGAGTGCCGCCGAGGCGGCGGCGAGGCGCGAGGCGGCCGTTGTGCTGCAGTACCCCACCACCCCGGCACTCAAACCCAATGTCCATCAGCTAGGCGGGAGGCGGTGGTTGTGCCGGCGCTGAAGCGGGTCTTCACGCGGCTGATGACGGCGGAGCAGGCGCGTGTGCACGAGCACGGCTGCCCGGGGGGGGGGAGGGGGGGGCGTGAACGGCGTCTGATCACGCGCCGCGCGCGCGAGCAGGCGCTGGTTAAGGCGCAGCTCGACGCGCTGATGACGCGGATCGAGTCGACCTCGCCGATGCTGCGTCTGCCCGGAAGTGTCTAAGAAATGTCTAGGAAATGTCTAGGATCGAGTCGACCTCGCCGATGCTGCGTCTGCCCGTCGACGAGCTCGCGGCGAGCTCCGGCCGAGAGGGGGCGAGGTCGGGGGGGGGCGGGGTCGGGCGAGGTGAGGCGAGGGAGATCGATGGCTAGGCACGAATCCACGAGCAGTACCCGCACGACGTGGGCGTCTTCTGCGTGTACTTGCTCAACTACCTCGTGCTCGAGCCGTCTAGGAACTGTCTAGGAACTGTCTGGGAACTGTCTAGGTACTTGCTCAACTACCTCGTGCTCGAGCCCGGCGAGGCGCGCTCTTCCTCCACGCCAAGCGAGCCGCGCGCCCGCCTGTGAACAGCGTCTCTTCACACACACCCTCGCCGTGAACAGGCGCTCTTCCTCAACGCCAACGAGCCGCACGCCTACCTCTTCGGCGACTGCATCGAGTGCATGGCCGAGTCGGACAACGTGGTGCGCGCCGGCCTGACGCCATATCTCCCCACATCTCCCCACATCCCCCCACATCTCCCCATGTCCCATGTCTCTCCGTATCTCCCCATCTCTCCCCACATCTCCCCATCTCTCCCCACATCTCCCCACATCTCCCCATCTCTCCCCATCTCTCCCCATCTCTCTGTATCTCCCCGCATCTCCCCGCATCTCCCCGCACCTCCCCTCCTCAGGTGCGCGCCGGCCTAACGCCAAAGTTCAAGGACGTGGACGTGCCCTGCGAGATGCTCACCTGCGACGACGGGCCTAGACATTTCCTTGACATTTCCCAGAAATGTCTAGGTGCTCACCTACGACGGTGTGAGAACCTTCCCCGAACCTTCCCCGAACCTTCCCCGAGCCTTCCCGTAGGTGCTCTGCGAGATGCTCACCTACGACGACGGGCCTCCTTACATGGTGCCCCCGCTGCTGATCGACGGCGGCGCCGAGCGGTACATCGCGCCGGTGCCCGAGTTCCTCGTGGACCGGGCGATGGTGGAGGCGGGTGGCGCCGTCCTCCTGCCCGCGTCGCCCTTCGTCTCGATCGTGGTGGTGGTGGAGGGGCGCGGGGAGCTCGAGGAGCTCGTCCGAGACGCGTCCGAGACACGCCCGAGACACGCCCGAGGCACTCTCTAGGCGCGGG